CTTGAAATTTGGTATGCAGACATACCAATGGTAGGTGCTTATAGAAGGAGACGTAAAAGCAAGTTTGAAAAGTGGGCGTGGCCCATCCCATTGGCGGGGAATTTTTTATCAGCCATAACTTCGGAACCATAAGTCCCACGAACTTGAAATTTGGTATGAAGACATATCAATGGTAGGTGCTTATACGAGGGTATATATAAACGAGCTTATAAAAAGGGGCATGGCACATCCCATAGGCGTGGAATTTTTTATCAGCTATAACTTCGGAACCATAAGTCCCATGAACTTGAAATTTGGTATGAAGACATATCAATAGTAGGTGCTTATATGAGGGGATAAATACATGAGTTTGTAAAAGGGGAAATGGCACGTCCTATAGGCGTGGAATCCTTTATCAGCTATAACTGTTAAATGAAAAAATTCGTACATAATGAATAAAACTTCTTCCGAATTAAGCATTCTACCAGAAATGTGCAGCTGAACTAAAACAGCCAAGCGAATAGGAAGCTAAACGGAATGTACCGTAGTACACTAATTTTAATTTAGAAATTTGATCGTTACCTTAATCCACCTAATATTAATAATGGAACAAGATTTGTAGTACAAATTATGATCAATGTACATTAGTTAAAGCACGATAAAGCTAAAAGTATGGCTCATAAGAATGCTTTAATGTAAACAAAGAAAATAGGTTGTGTCCTTTAAATTATGCTGAAATAAATATTTTTATTACTGTTTTATATTTTTATTTGTTTACCCCGAACGACGTCGGGTGCTCTGCTAGTCTATATATATAAAACTGATATGTTTTTCGTGTGACCGCGATGCCTGACCAAACGGCTGAACCGATTTCAATTCTGTAAAAATACTTTTTTGACCTTCTGTGTGGAAGGTTTTTCGATAAAAAAAATTTGAAACTCTTTGTTGTTATTGCCGAAAAATGAAAAATGCTGAGACGTCACAATTTCATACAGTTTTCCGTACATTGAATGTCACTATACTACTAAACGGCTGGACCGATTTTGTTCATATTTGGAACATATATCAGTACCTGGAAAAGAATTATTTCTACAAAAAATTTACTCGCTAGGCGGCGCTGGGGTCAGAATATTCCTAAAAATTACATTTACTTGCATATTTGGCTCATATTTAGAAAACAATTTAGCCAATTGAAAATAAATATTTGGACTTGAAACTTACACGATAGTCGGTCCTGTGGCCGACACATCCCCAAAAATTATTTATTTTATGTATGTATGTGCCAGGTTGCAGTCTAAACGGACGGACAGAATCGAACAAAATTTTGACAGAGTATTGCCATTATACCTGGGCCTATAATAGGGTGAAAAAATTGGGATCCGACAAGGGGGCGTGGCACCTCCCATAGGCGTGGAATTTTTAATCAGCCATAACTTCCAGACCATAAATCACATGAACTTGAAACCTGGTATGCAGACATGTCAATGGTAGATGCTTAGCCGGGTATATATAATCGAGTTTGTAAAAGGGCGCGTGGCACGTCCCATAGGCGTGGAATTTTTTATCAGCTATAACTTCGGAACCATAGGCTTTCATCCAACATAGGAGAGAGGCACACTTAGACCCAGTGGGTCCGTTGTGATACCAATTGAGAGCTCGAATTCGAACCCGTCCGTTCGCCTAGAAGTGGTACCAGTTGGTTAGGTTTATAAAGCGCGAGAATTCGTAAATGCCTGCTTCACTAAGAAATGAGCGTCTTCTCGCCCACATGATGGCGGGGAAATTACAGAGATAGTGTTCCACACTCTCGATTTCGTCCTCGCCGCGGCAACCACGGCAGAAATCATTAGCCGGCAAATCCATTCTGCTAGCATGCCTTCGCTTTAAGCAGTGGCCCGTGATTATACCGGTCACCAGGCTTAGTACAGGCCGTTCTAGCCGAATGAGTGCGTCGGATCTTTTCTTGTCGTAGTTGGGCCAGATTTGTCAAGTCGTCCCACACGTGGGTTCTTTCGACCATCTTTTGTTTTCCCTCTCCACGTAGTATGTCCAGAGCCGTGTCTTACAGGTAGATAGGGGTATGACCGCTGCATGGGAGGAGTTGACGCCCGACAGGGTGGTTCCCTTCCGCGCAAGCTTGTCCGCCGCCCAGTTACCCTGAAAGTCCCTGTGGCCCGGCACCCACACGATGTGAGTAGTAGATTTTGAAGCTAGATCGTTAAGGACTTTCCTACATTCTAAAGCAGTTGTAGATGATGTCTTTCAGCAATCCGGCGACTTAATAGCTGCTTGGCTGTCGGAGTATATGGTTACCGAAGGTAGATTAAGAGAAGAATCGATGAGCCAGAGTGCAGCCTCCTTTATGGCCGCGAGTTCCGCTTGGAAGACACTGCAGTGGTCTGGTAGCCTAAAGAAGAGATCTAGTGAGAGGTCCTTTGAGTGTATCCCACTCCCTACTCTTAGATTTAGTTTAGTTTAGTGTATATGGCTGTGGAGTTACTTTGGAGGCCCCAGACCGAGTCGTCCTCCCAGTCCTTCCTCGAAGGGATACGAGTGGAGAACTTATTCTCGAGCACCATCGGTGGTGTTGTATAGTCTGGGGACCTGAATATGTCGGGGTAGTTGGTCAGGACATTGGTATGACCGAATCGAGTGTCTTTCCATTTTGACAGTGCATTTAATCTTACTGCATTGTAGCTCGCCCGTAGCTTCCCTGAAAGGTCTACGGGCAGAAAGTTTAGAAGTGTTTCCATAGCTTTGGCGGGTGTGGATGGCAGTGCACCTGTGATTAGCATGCATACCGCCCTTTGAACCTTGGTAAGCTTAGAATTTGTGAGCGATTTATCCAGTGATGTCCACAAGACTGTGACGCCGTAGAATAATATAGGACGTACCACTACTGTGTAAATCCAGTGAACTATGTGTGGTTTGAGACCCCATTTCTTGCCTATAGCCGTTTTTCAGGAGTAGAGGGCGGTAATGGCCTTTTTGGCCCGCTCTTCTACGTTACGTTGCCAGGTAAGTTTTCTGTCCAATATGACGCCCAAGTATTTCACTTCGTCAGAGAGCGGCAGCTCTACGCCATTTAAGGTCGGAAGTTGAAATGGGGGGATTTTTGTTTTCCGTGTGAAGAGAACCGTTACCGTTTTAGCCGGGTTGGCGTTCAGTCCGCATTCTCTAGACCAGGTTTCCACGATACTCAAGGCGTTCTGCAACAGTTCTCCCAGGATTTGTGGGTGCTTACCTGTTGCAGTTAGGGCAAGATTATCGGCATACGCAATAGCGTTGCAGCCCGAGCCCCGTAAGCGCATGAGTAGGGTGTTTACCGTAAGATTCCAGAGGAGTGGTGAGAGTACTCCTCCTTGAGGAGTGCCCCTAGTCGCATATCTTGTGATGTGAGCTCCAGCCATCTCCGAATAGATAGTTCTCCGATTAAGGAGAAGACTGATAAAGTGATCGATCAAGTCCGATCCGGAGCATAGATGATGTGATCGCCTCTGGGAGCACATTATTAAAGGCCCCTTCTATATCTAGAAAGATACCTAAAGTTAGCTCCTTGTATGCCAAGGATTTTTCAATATTGTAAACTATTTTGTGGAGAGCGGTTTCCACCGATTTGCCTTTCGAGTAGGCGTGTTGGCAGTCAGGTGGCTTCTTAGGATCCATCTTTTGCCGCATGAATGTATCCAGTATCCTTTCCAGGATCTTTAGGAAGAAAGAAGAAAGGCTGATTGGTCGAAAATCGTTGGGCTTCACATGAGAGGCTCTGCCTCCCTTCGTTATGAAGACGACCTTCGCCCATGTCCATGATTTTGGTAGGTTTAGACAAGCCCTATAGATTACCGTCAGGTTAGGGCATAATATGTCAGATGCTTCTTGCAGCTCCACTGGGAAAATGCCATCCAGCCCAGGGGATTTGAAGGGTTTAAAAAATTGTATGGCCCTATCCACATTCCTGTGGGCTATGATGGCTTCCCCCGCCGGAAATGGTCCCACCGTAGGGGCCGAGTTACTCTCCGCCGCGGAGCAGCCAGGAAAGTGTGTATCTACAAGAATCTCTAGCATATCATCCCGAGATGAAGTCCACTCGCCGTTTGGCCTTTGGATATAGCTGGGAGAAAAGGGGCTCTTTGATTATACCTTCCGTAAACGGTTGGCTTCCAAATGTTCCTCAATGTTGTCACAGAGGTTTTTCCATGACGTCCTCTGAGCCCTTTTGATGGCTCGCTTGAAATTTTTTAAGGCTTCCGTATAGGAATACCACGATCCGTCTCTTTTCGCCTTATTAAAAAGCTTCCTGCTTTCCTTCCTCAGGGTGGCGATTTCAACGTTCCACCAGTGTGGCTTCTTTTTCCCCTTCGGAATTGTGATAGGGCAGGAGGCGGAAAAAGCCACGTTACAGGCTTTGGGCATATGGTCCACTGCTTCTTCAATTTTTTCCGATGAATCTAGTCCACCGAGAGAAGCATGCTGGAAGTCTACAGATTCCGCTTCATCAGATGTTGTCGGTAAGCGAGACTTACCGTGAGAAGCGCTTCTAAAAAGGAGGTCCGAGAGTATATTCCTGAACTTGTTCCAGTCGGTTCGTCTCCTGTTTCTGTAAGCGACTGGAGATGATGGTTCGAAAGATATCTTGAAATTTATGTATCTATGGTCGGAGAAGGAGTGGTCATTTGAGACATGCCACTCACTGATATTTTCTAGAAAGTATTCCGACACAAGAGAGATGTCTAGTACCTCCCTTCTGTTAGAGGTTACAAATGTTGGCCTACATCAAATTACAAATTGCTAGGCTATTTGAGAAAATGAAATAAGATAAGAGACTCACCCCGTTTGTTACTGTCCGTGGATCCCCACAGCGAATGATGAGCATTCGCATCGGTACCGATAACGATGGGAAACTTCCTCTTGTTGGCCTCTTTCACAACGTCCTGCAACCGAGTCGGGGGATAAGTGGCGTGGTCATGTGCCATGTACGATGAGACCAGCCAGAGTGGTTTTGATCGTACTTCCACGCTTACGCTCACCGTGTCCTCGTCACTAAACTGTGTGAGTAGAAGATAAGAGAAGTTTTTCTTTATTAAAATGCATGATCTAATCTTACCTGCCTCAGGGGCTGACACGACATGATACGCATTAGAATTGAGTCAGCAAATCTTCTGGTATACTACCCAAGGTTCCTGGACAAATACAAGCTCCTCTCCTCTTTCGTCTAGGTGCAGGAGCAGAGCAGCCGATGCTGCCTTCGAATGGTGGAGGTTAATCTGTAGCACCCTCACCATTGTCAGACATGCTCAAGGTCTCGTCGTCCATTTTGTCCTGGCTGTCGTCCTTGAGCGATATTACTGTTACGTCAGCATCCTCATCGTCCGAAGCCAGGAGTTGGTCCTCCGAGATCTCGATCCATCGACTAAAGACGGATCCCAAAAGGCCAGTCACGGAACTAGCGTCGCTGTCTGTGCCTAAATTTGACTCCTGGCTCTGGGTCTGTGTCTCCACTTGTCCATCCAGGTTACCCTTGGACAGAGCTAGTTCACCCTCCCCTTTCATGGGGTCATCTTTAGATGGCGGGTTTGAAAACACGGGTTCACTGGTGGTGCCTTCCGCGTTTTGGAAGATGCCCTCATTCCCTTTTTGGGTTTTAAGGGTGATGGAGTAAAAGCCGTAGCTTATTACCCCATTGTTTTCGGCGATGATAGGCAGAGACTTCTCGTTTATCACAAGCGTGATATATCTCTGCGGGTCCTTCACCTCGCTGACTTTCACTACTCACCAATCAAGGATCGGTAGTGAGTCGTTGGAGAGCTGGATAATGTCCAAGATGACTTCGGGTTTAGCGGGTTAGCGCAGGAAACCAGTTTTATGCGGCCCTGGTAAAGACCCACGCCACGAGCTACAGGGGGGGTCCTGGATTTTTGCCCAAAATCTCCTTATAGACCCGGCGGAGGCCCACTAGGACGGACTTCCAATTGTCCGCCGTAAGATTCCCCTCTGGGTGCCCCCTGTCTATTATCGCTAGGACCATGTGGTCCTTAGCAACGTCGCTGAAGGCTCTTTGTGCCCGAGAAGGGTTAGTAGGGCCGGAAGAGGTAGCAGATCTTGGCTTCTTAGGTTCCAGCTCAGTGCTTTTATCCACTGAGCCTCTTTGAGCCTGTTGGTTTGGAGCTGTTGGAAGTTGCTTCGGGGTTCGCGGGGGCGTCCGTGCTCTCCGTCCGTTTCCGGCACGCGTGGATGCCCTTGGCCCACTCCACCAGCTCTTTCTGTTCCTGGTTACCAGGATTATCTCCGAATTTTGCGAGAAGCCTTGAGGCGGCTCTTCGCTCGCGTTGCGCCTTAACGGCCGGACGAACCTCCTTCTTCGCCCTGTGGCGGCCGGTTGATGCCCTTTGAGGGTTCAGGTCTCAGCGCTTGACGACCGGCCTAACAGCTACAGTGCCCGCAGTGGGCTCTTTAGAGCCAGGTACCTCCACGGCGACGACCGCTGTTGAACTACCCTCGAGGGGTTTGTCCACAGCAGCCTCGGACATGGAGGGCCGACAACCTATTTTTACCGGGCGTTCAGGCCTGCATTGCGTCTCGGTCTCCGGTACCTTGGGTCCCTCGAGGGGTACATTGTAGCTGGTGATGAGCGCAGAAGGACTTTCGGGCTTGCCCGATGGAGTTGGCCGTGAAGGCCCCC